GCTGACAAAACACACACACCATCACTTTTCATTGGTAAAACTTTTCTTGCTTAGGAATAGGAGAGTTTCACACCCTGAACAAAACAAGTTTTACTGATAAAAGTGCAGTTTAGATAAAGGCTACGTCTACACTGCAGGTTTTTCCGAAAGAACAATTGTTCTTGCACAAAAACTTGTGGAGTGTCTATACTGTATGGGCTCGTCTACACTGGCCCCTTTTCCGGAAGGGGCATGTAAATTTCACCTATCGTAGTAGGGAAATCCGCGGGGGATTTAAATATCCCCCGCGGCATTTAAATAAAAATGTCCGCCGCTTTTTTCCGGCTTTTAAAAAAGCCGGAAAAGAGCGTCTACACTGGCCCCGATCCTCCGGAAAAAGCGCCCTTTTCCGGAGGCTCTTATTCCTACTTCAAAGATTTCCCTATTACGATAGGTGAAATTTACATGCCCCTTCCGGAAAAGGGGCCAGTGTAGACGAGCCCATACAGTATAGACGCGGGGGATATTTAAATCCCCCGCGGATTTCCCTACTACGATAGGTGAAATTTACATGCCCCTTCCGGAAAAGGGGCCAGTGTAGATGTAGCCATCGTGTGTTCTTGCACAAGTAAATTTACAGTAAAGTATCAGAAAAGAGGGCTTCTTGTGCAAGAGTTATTCCTCTCCCCACGAGGAATAAGCCCTCTTGCGCAAGAGCTCTTTCACAAGAAGGCAGTGTGGACGGGCAATGGGTTTCTGATGGCTAAAATGGCCATCAGCGCTTTCTTGCACAAGAGAGCATCCACACCTCCACGAACACAGTTACACAAAAGCACATGGTAGTGTGGGTGTGTTCTTGCGCAAAACAGTTCTTGCGCAAGAAGCCTGGGCTATCTCTAGACTGGCCAGATTTTCCGGAAAAACTTGCCAGCTGTCTACACTGGCCGCTTGAATTTCTGCAAAAGCACTGACTTCCTACTGTAAGAAATCAGTGCTTTTTGCGGAAATACTATGCTGCTCCCATTCGGGAAAAAAGTCCCTTTTGCGCAAAAGGGCCAGTGTAGATAGCTGAGATTTGTTTTGCGCAAAAAAGCTCCAATCGCGAAAATGGCAATCGGGGCTTTTTTGCGCAAAAGCGCGTCTAGATTGGCACAGACGCTTTTCCTTAAAAGTGCTTTTGCGTAAAAGCGTCCGTGCCAATCTAGAGGCTCTTTTCCGAAAATGCTTTTAACGGAAAATTTTTCCGTTAAAAGCATTTCTGGAAAATCCTGCCAGTGTAGACATAGCCTCTATGTCAGGGTGCCCAACTTCTAGATTCCTAGAAATCATAGGAACAACACTGTAATCTGTAAAGCAAAATGAGACACTTAGGTTCCCTTTAGAATGATTGGGGAGAGAGACACACCTAAGAATGTGAGCCGCAAAGCCAGTATGCAAGGTAGGGAAGTGCCTAAGGCCTTGTCTACACTTATTTGCACCGCCAATCAAGTAGCATAGTTGAAGTCATACTCACCATGGCATGTTGCATATGCTATAGTCAGCGCCAGCTACTCTTCTCGTCTTGGTGAAGTACTGGCATCAACAGGAATGCACTCTCAGATCAATTTATTGCATCTAAGCACATGCAATAAATTGATGGATCCACTGCATAGTGTAGATAAGGCCTATGATAGCTAAAGGAAGATGCCAAGGACAGGTGTATGAACTACTTCGCACTCCTCTCATGGTGATAGAGTCCTAAAGCCAGAATGTAGGGATGCACCTACTTCTTCTTGTGATGCCTATACAGGAGTCTGCTTCATGGAGTCAGGCAGCTTACCTTGTAAAATGAATTAGGTGTCTGTCTTGCTCCATTCAGAACAGTGCTTTTATCTCTGACCTGTGGGAAATTCACATGTGGGGCTCCCTCATTGTCCTGGGTTGAAGTTGTTCCACTGTGGATAAATCATTAAATTGTCTTTGGGCTACAGGGGAAGAGATTGTGAACAGCTCCTTAGCCTGACAATTAGGGTACCTGCCTGGTAAGTGGGAGACCTAGGTCCAATCCCATAGCTCCCAGTAATTCTTCCATTATTTATCACAGTGGAACAGCTTCAATGGGCGATACTAAAATTATGAGCCAGGTTAATGGAGAAAAAAACAGCTTTTTATTTGTAATTATTTTACTGACAGTTGTTTTTCTTTATTTGCTGTATAGAAAAATAACGTGTGTTGCATAGAAACATGATCTACAACATACCCATATTTGTATATATTAGCCACTATATGTTATTTGTAGGACTTCCTGTCTGTAAATTGTAACAATAACATTCTTAAGGCAGATGAACATTAGGAATGTAATTTAATCAGTAGACAAAGTAAAGCCTCGAAAGCCCAAACATAATGCCAGCAGATACTTTTGCATGAGTGATCTGACTCATACAAGCAACTCAGCTGAGTTCAGTAGGTGTACAATTACTCATGTCATATCAGAATGTTCCATAGCTCTATAGTCAAAACACATTTCTATGCTGGGAGATGGTGGTTTAAATCTTTTCTTCCTCTCTGTCAGAAAGGGTGGTATTTAACTTGGGTGTATCACTTCCCACATGAGTGCTTTAACCACTGAGTTCAAAGTTAGAAGGTGAGTACCAGCAACATCACTGTCTCCTCCAGTCAGATTTTTAATGGGCTCTAATCTTGTGATCATACTCAGTGACCTACTGCTGGATCAGGCTCCACATGTGATATTATAGGTGACTAAATGGTGTCTTCTCCCAGTTTGTCAATCACTGTGGAGCTTAGGCAGGTGACAAGTGTGTGGGCATCTAGAGTGAGGCAGCAATGCACGTGCTCACAAGCAGAAACTTAGGACACGGGAACATTTTTATATGAAAACATAGGTGCCAACTGAGTTTAGGAGTCCGCAGGGCTCAGTGTGAGTTCTGTGCATCATATTTTTTGTTTAAATTTTCCTTCTTAGTGTAAGCCATTGATTTTTTGGATTCATGGATCTAGCACAGTTGTATTGTAGTTTAATGTATCTTTTGTTTTAGTGTTTATAATACATCATAAAGGGAAAATGATACACAGAATGAGTTTCAGGTGGTCTTATTCCAAATATTATTAAGCCAAAATAGCTCACATATTTTCATGTCTTCAATGGCTGCCCTGGCAAGACATTTTTGTTAGATCCATATATATTGTTGGATACTCAAGTTGCTTAAATGTCAGTGTATCCCCGAACATTTACTAACATTCTCCATATTTTGCTTCTGTTTCATACACAGAATTTTTATATTACTGTTTGCTACTTTTAATGAGATAAGGCATTGCAGATTCAGCATCTGCCCCAGGCTCCCTGCTTGTTTTCCCCAGAGTCTACTTCCTGACCAGATTGCTCTATATTTTAAAAAATATTTTCTTGCTTTTACTATGGGAAAGACCCTCACAAACAGAGGAAAACTGACTATACAGAGGCAAGAGTGAGTCTGACTAGATTTAAATAGTAATCTAATATAAAAAATAAACTGGAAGAAAATGTTATAGCAACTGCCTTCACAGGCACATCCAGAACATGTGGGGCACTCTATTGGATTCCTTAGCTACACTTTTTGCAAAATTGTGGCCTTACATCTTTCTTGTAAGAATAGCATGTTTAATAATACTTAAATAGTAATATGATACTTTTTTCAACAGTATCCCTGTCACTCAAGAGTGTTTTACCTAAATTTCATTTTCTTAGTATCAAATTCCTTACATTTTTCATTTCATCCATAATAAGCTTCATTCTTACCAAATTTTTCTGTAGTATTATCCCTAGCATATTATAAAAGGATTTATATAATCCTATACTTATGTGTTTTCAACATAAAAGGAAACATAAAAAGTGCTTTATTTGCAGGGATTTGTACCTCTTTCCCATTCTGTTGTCAGAAGTATCAAAAACTGACACAAGAGAAGCAACAGAAGCTATTTAAAGGCACGGCAAATTACCTGGATCCCCCTATCAGATTCAGGTGCCTTCCACATTCGCACTTTAGTATAAACCATTACAGTGCAACATAGTTTCCAGTGAATTAAAAAAAATGGTCCTGTTTTTGTTTTGCAGGTTGTGGAACTCTTGCTGTGCTGGAACAAAATGAAGCTGGGATTTGTCTTTTCAGGAGGTAACAATTTTATAACTTTCTTATGAGAAGTATTTTTTATAGAACATTATAATGAAAGAGATGGTATTGGATATTTTGGTATTTCTGTTCGTGATAAATAATTACTATGATATATTAAATGGACACATTAGGGATGTTAAACAGTAACCGGTTAAACGGTTACCCAATAGGCATCACCCATTAAGGTTAACCGGTACCCAAGAGCAGTCCTCTGAAGGCTGGCAGGGGTAACTGCAGCTGCCCCCTTGAGGGGGCAGGGAGCTGCAGTGGCAGCCCCTGTGGGGGGCGGGGGAGAGCAAGGAACTGTAGCTGCGGCAACCCCTGAGCGGGGGCCGGGAACAACTTAGAGGGAGCAGCCCCTGCCTATGGGCAGAGGGGTTTCTCCAATTCTGACGGAGTGGCCCACTGCCCTGTAATTGGTTAAATGGCTAGACATCATGTTAGTGCTGTGGTTGACCATTTAACCAGTTAAACAGGATTTTACATCTCTAGTTACATGTCCATACTTGGGTACAAAGAGCTGGTTACACTATTTGGCTCATAATATAAAGTGAAATTTTTAAAGTTAAAAACCAACACCATCCTTAACATAAGGCATTTAGGGGCAGCAGAATAATGCAAGTTAAATGTTGTCTCTCTGCCCTATCTTGTTACTGTATATTGAGTCTTGCTGCCCTTGCATTACTTAACACTTTTCACAATGGGTTTGAATGAAATGGCATCTTGTGGAAACTAAACTTTGTATGTATTTCCTTATTGATCTTTTCTGGGGAATGGTGGTACCTCTGATATTTCTTTTTTTTTGGTGGGATGAGGGGAGGGGCTGTTGCCTGTCACAGCTCAGCAGTGCCGCATCTGAGAATTTGTGCTGCCCTGATTTTAAGAGTATTGTATACCTAACTTGAAATATAAACCTGATCATTCAGACTTCTCTGAGATAAGAGTTTAAATATAAATGTAATAAATAACCTTACTTTTGGATACGGACAGATATTTGGCAGTTGGTAATTAGGTAGCAGGTTACTTATAGCAGTTAAATGTTATACTGCAATAGCTGGGAATAATTTAGTAATGAATGAGTATTACTGATTCAGTAATGAAAGTATTTCTATCATACTTCCTGTTTATCACTCCCACCTGGGGGGCACTGCATTATGATTATTTCACTTAATGATGTTTCTGTGTCAAGCAGCATGGTCACTATAGAACAATGAGTAGCATACCCTTCCTTCAGTGCTAGAGAAATAGAGATTGACTTGGATATTGATATCTCTGTTAATGATAAACAATGGCTCTCTGATATATTTTTGTTGGCACTACTTCTGTAGCACTCCTACTTCCATTTGACCAGGAAGCCTACTATGGAAATCAGACCTCATTCTCTATATAAAAGGTGATGGTCTTTGGCTCTCTTGTTCTGATTTGTTCTAACATAAATCTTTAAAAACTTTCAAGGTATCATCAAATTTCTTCTAAATCTTTAGACAGTCAAGCCTACAGAAAGATAATACGTTCAGAATGTGATAACTTAAAGACTGTGTTGATAAATCTTTAACTATAACTAATCCAACCAGCTACACAGTAATTTCTCACAGAATAATATCTTGATTGCCCTGGTTTAGTTTTGACTGGAATGATGGCCTCTTTGATGTGACATGGAGTGAGAACAATGAACACGTGCTGGTCACTGCTAGTGGGGATGGATCTCTGCAGATCTGGGACACTGCTAAACCCACAGGTCCACTGCAAGTCTATAAAGAGCACACTCAGGAGGTAAAAGAGGCAAACTTAAAAATGTTACTAGGCTACATTTTTACTGATAAGTTTATTAAGGGGCTCACTTTCAGAATCACTATTGGAAAGTGTTTTTTCTTTGCTTGGAACTATAGCCTGAACTTACAGCTTCAAGTCTGTTCAACATGAGGTAAACTACATACTGAATTCATAGTAAATGACATTTGATCTCATAAAATTCAAATATTTTTATAAATACTTTGAAAATTTTATTCTTGATTCCTCAGAGCATAGGAGACTCATGGTAGCACTGGGGAGATGCATCCACCCATACCCGTGCCAACATTTTAATGCTTAATAGGGTGCATCCTTATGCCCCTCCCTGTCTCTCTGGGTAGCCTTCCCTGCACTCCTTATTTCCCTCAAGTCCCAGTCACCCCCACTTCAGAGAGTAGGCTGGAGTAGTCATTCAGTAGAATCCCTCCAACTACTGGAGGAGTGGCATTGAACAGGCCAAATCTCAACCAGAAGGTTGGTGTCTGCAGCAGTGGTGCCATGAAAGGTGAAAAGTGAGAAATTATGCAGGACTCTCTTCATATTTAGGGCAGGAGTGTGAATGGTTAACCAGTAAGTATCACCCTTACTGCTGTGCTGCAGTCAGGGGCACTGCAGCCCAGCCAGAGCAACCCCTGTCTGCAGTGTGCCTAAGCCAGGCCTGCCATGGATGGGGGCTGCTCTGGCTGGGCTGGAGCAGTCCGCTCCCTCCCCTGCAGTGGTGGGACCACTCCAGCCCGGCTGCAGGGGGCAGTCAGGCCGCTCCAGCCCATCTACCTGCCCCCATTTAATCAGTGAAATGGTTACTGGTTACTTATTATGTTTAACTATTTAAATGGGATTTTATATCCCTAATTCAAAGTGGAAAAAGGCAAGAACCTTCAAATACTTCAAATATAGTATCAGAATAATTATTTGTGCTCTTTAAGCATAAAAAAGAAATCCTAAAGTTATGAAATATAATATGCCTAACCTGAACTTGTATGTTGTGCACATATCTCAAGGTTATAAAGAAGGAGGAAGTTGCATCAGTTTAAAAAGAATAGAGTTGGACACTTTTTCCTTTTCTACTTAACACTGAGAATAAATGTACATTATTCTTGATTTTACAAACCATGAAAACTGAAATATCTCCTTCAGCCATATTTTATCTCATTGCATTTTTAGGCTGCCTCTTACTCGTTGAATTATTGTGTTCTCACAATGGGGAATAGGTGGAGTAACTGCAATGTGTGTGTTTTGGCATGTTACAATCTTGAAACAGGCACATGGGAAGGAAGAGTTATGTAAAATTGTGAACTCAGTCTGCAGAAAGGAGTGTTAGACTGCTAAAGGGAACCCGTTCAAAGTGATATAATCACTTTGGGTGGAAGAGGTAGATTACTGAAAATCTTTCTAAGGGACTTTCCCCAAAAGGGTGTTCCACAGTGAGTCCTGCAAGACCATGGTCTAGCAGAACCATGGATATTGCTGACCAGAGAGCCACGGGGGCTGGCTAGTAATCTGGTGGTGGAGGGGCTGGCGGTGGCAGGGAAGCACCAGCTGGGCATGGGGAACTCCATTTGGGCTGGCAGCAGGAAGACCAGCAGTGACCAGGGAGTCCCAGCTGGGGCCAGGAAGCCACAGTCTCAGCAGTAGAGAGGGCCAGTGGCTGGGAGCCCTGCAAACTGGGGACAGAGCCTAGTGCGGGCAGCTGGGAGTGGATGGACAGCCTGGGGGAGAGCCTGGGATCGAGGGCCAGTGGCCAGCAGGGGATCACTGACCTCCCCTAGTCCAGGAAAAGTCCTGGTTTGGGACCACTTATGTCCCAAGTGTGCCAAACCAGGGAGGTCTAACGTGAAACAATCTTGTTTAGCCAGCCAAGGTAGCATATTTTGCAACGTTTCTGTAGCCTGTGACCAGAAAGAGGCAGTTTAAAGAAATCCCCTAAACATCCCAACACTTGTTCAAGTTTGTCAGGTCTTGAAGTGGTTGATAAGACCATGTGCTGTGCCTGTGTTTTTTCAGTAGTGAGATTGCAAGTGAAAACACCAGAAAGAGAAGGTGCATTTTCTTTTCTGTCTCCTTTGTGTATGTGTGTTTTGTAGTCTTATGAAACGGTATCATATTTTAACAGTTCCATCCATCTCAAGTAACTTTTCTTTCCCCCCAAAATAGTTATTACAGTCTTTGATACTATCTAAAAACTGTCAATCCAAAAGTATATTCCTTTGAAAAACTCTCTCCAGCTACAGGAAAGTGAACAAGGATGTTATTAAAATGACAGACTTATTTCATTCTTTTTACTTCAGATGCTTTCACGTTTTTCTTCTTTTCTGTATCTCTGATAAAAGGTTAATAGGATTTTAATGATGTGTTTGCCATGGGATTAAGGCTGAGGTCTCTGCATGTGAAACTCCAAACACTGTTTAAAACAGTTTAATGTTGCACAGTGATTAACTCTTTGGGCCCCTCCATTCCCTTTACATTAATACAACAGCCTCAAATGCAAAGATTTCAGGCGTACTGTTTAAATGGAAAAATTATGGCAAGCATGGGTCTTTATATTGGTTTGAATACCCTTACATTATATCTATTGACAAAATTAAGACTGAACTGATTTTTCTTGATGATAAAATACTGCAATAAAGTAACTCTTCACTTTAACGTTGTAACAGTGTTAAACTAATTCAGTTTCCCCATAAGAATTTATGTAAATGGAGTGGTTGGGTTCCAAGGAAACTTTTTTTGTAAGACAAAAGGCTTTATATATAAAAACCAGGGTGGGAACCCTCAGGCTTGGGGACTGGATGTGGCCCCCGGCTTGCCTAGATCTGACCCTCAGGGATTCCCCCCCAACCCCACAGCGGGAAGCCCCAAGCCTCATGGGCTGGAGTCAGGCATGCCCAGGGATAGATCCAACCCACATGCTCTGACTGGCGGGGGGGAGGGGAGGAGCGGCTCTGCACTCTCCCGCACCATCTCCCCTCGCTGGGGAAATGGCATCACATCAAAGCACTGCCTAGAACTTTTTCCTCCGCCTCTTCGATTGGTCATATTCATGGCCAATAGGAGTAGTACAGGGCAATGCCTGGGAGCAGTGGGGGACACAGAACCATATGTAATCCTGGGGAGCTCCTCCAGGTAAGCACCCCGCCCCCCATCGCCCAGATCTCCCAACTCCCACCCTCTCCTGCACCCAAACTCCTGCCCAGCCTCCCCAGCCTACTTCTGCACCCTACCCCCCTCCCAGACCCAGCAAACCCCAACCCAGTTCTGCACTTTTCCTCCCGCCCAGATCCTTCACCCCAAGCCCTCTTCCCAGCAGCTCTCTACCACACACTGAACCTCTCATTTTTAGGTCCCACCCCAGAGCATAAAGGGTGCCAACAAAATCTATTAGCCTGGTTCCACCTAGGCTGTGGTTTGTGAAAGTAAAATGTGGCCCCTGACTGATATTTCTGTGGTCAGTGGGTCATAAATGTGAGTTATAGAGTCATATAAGAAATGAAATGTCCTCCTGTCTGTCAGTTCGTCTCTGTGGGTGTGTCTAGACTACAGGGTTTTGTCGACAAAAGTGGACTTTTGTCGACAAAACTATACCTGTGTCCACACTGCCTTTGAGTTATGTTGACATAACGTCGACAAAACTCAGCAGTTTTGTCGAGGTATGTAAACCTCATTCTACGAGGAATAACGCCTTTTGTTGACAGAGTTCTGTCGATAGAACTTTGCGTCTACACTACCATGTCGACAAAGCAGCTTGCTTTGTCGACAGAACTCAATGTAGTCTAGACGCTCTTTGTCGACAGAAGTTTTGTCGACAGTGTCTGTCGACAAAACTTCTGTCGACAAAACCCTGTAATCTAGACGTACCCTGTGAGAACTCCTCCTAAACGGTAACAGCTAGGGCCACCGAATTTGGTATGCAACATCCTCTTAAGAGTTTGATTGTGCCAGGAACACAGGATGTGGTGGGAGTGGGGCTTTTTCCCTCAACATGGATAAGGAGGGGCAGATGAGAGACGCAATCCATACACTCACCACTGTGGGCAGTGAATGGGAACAGGATATTGCTGAGTGAGCACGGGGAACAGCCACACCCCAGCACGAGATTGATCAGCTGGGGATGGGGCACTGCATGTTGCTGGCCAGGCCACCTTCAATTCGTAAGGCTTCCTCTCCGCATCTCCCCCCTTCCCCCCACCACAGCTATAGGGCCTGGGCATTACAACCACCTCCCTGCTATGGGATCTGGGAATTTGCTCACCCCTGCTCTAAGGGAAAGGGCACTCATTGTCAAGCTAGGAATCAAAGTGCATGTAAATGGGAAGGCACATGCACTTGCATCTCATTATCTTCTTCTTCATGTCATTTTACAATTGCAGTTTTAGCCCCAGGATGATTATTATTAATTCTGTGGCACCATCTGTCAGTGAAACAAGAGTTTCTTAACCAACTTCTTGGTTTTGACAGGGAACGTAGGGAGTCATGGTTAGTCAGCCATGGGTTAGAAAGACCATGTAGGACCCATGGGCAGACTGCTTACTATGAGATATGGAAGAATTGGATCAGTTTTTATAAGTGGTGCACTAAGAGAAGCCAGATTGTAATAGGAGTATAATTAATATTTTCTAGTAAACACTGTCAGACAATGCTTTTTAAAATGATTGACTGCCATCTTAATCCATTTTGATACTTCCGATGATTGCTGCCATTGAATTTTATAGTGTCTTAATGGAAAGTTTGGCAGGGATCAACTTTTTCTTCTAAATAAGATTCAGTCCTCCCACTTCAAGAAGTATAAACAATTTTAATGTAAATCCCCATATTTATTATCAGAGAACATGGAGTTTTATTCCCAGTTCAGAGAGTTGCTGCACCTAATGAATAACCAGAACTAGGGATGTTAGATACCAGTTAATTGAATAGTCAAGTAACCACATGAATTCCTATTGGTTACTCAACTATTCTATAGTCCCTGGAGGCAGGACCAGCAGTCAGTGTGCACTAGCCCCACTCCCAGGGAGCCCTCTGCCACACCGCACTGCTGCCTCTATATCAGGGTGCTAGGTGGGAGCTGGTCCTCAAGGGGAGTCAGTTTAAAAACCAGCTCTCCGCACAGACCAGGCTTCCTGCTGCCCCGTGCTGCTGCCTCTGATACAGAGTAGGGATGTAAAAGAGTAGTTGAATAGTTGACTACTCGATAAGCCTAGGCCTATCGACTAATTGACATGGCTTCTGACTGAGAAGCAGAAAGATACTCCCCACATTCCCCTCGCAAACCCAGGCTAATAGATTTTGTTGGCCCCGCTTCGGCTCTGGGTGAGGCCCAAAAATGAGGACTTCGGTGTGTGGTAGAGATTATTGTGGGTGGCTCTTACTACATTTCAAAGGCAGAGGTGCAGCGGGGATAGTGAGCACCTCTTTCCCCCTTATCAACTAATCAAGTAGTTGATGGAAATTCCATCGATTACTTGACTTGCTGATTATTCAAAATTTAACATCCCTAATAGAGAGGCAGCAGCGTGGGGTGGCCAAGCTCTCCATGGACAGAGGCTGCTGCAGGGTGGGGAAGCAGGAGAGGCTGCCTTGAAGCAACCTCTGTCTGCAGTGGCCTGGGCTGGCCGTGGACAGAGGCTGATCTGGCAGCAGCCCCTGTCCGCGGGGGTCACAGCTCCCTGTGGACAGAGGCTGCACCAGAATCTGGAGCAGCCTCTGTGCTCAGGGAGCTCGGACCCCCTGTAGACGGGCTACTACTGCAAAGCAGCCTCTGTCCACAGCGAGCTTGGGCTCACTGCAGGCTGTGGCTGCTTCTATCACAGGCAGCTGGAGCAGGCGCCACCTCAGAGCTGGTGCTGGAGGGAACCGGCTGATGACAGGCAGCAAAAGTGGGGAGAGGGATGTGAGTAGTTGAGAAAATTAACCAATAAGTCTAGTCTTATTGGTTAATTGTGTATTCAACTACTTATTTACATCCCTAACCAGAACTAAATTAATTTACTGATTTATTTCAATGCAACTGAGATGAAACCCCATTAGAATGTAAGGCAAGGAATACTTTCACTATCTTCATTCTGTAAAATCAGTTTAAAAATTTATTTTGTCTATTTGGTTAAGGTTTTACTTTTCTCTTCATCATAGTCAGTGGTTCTGAAGCTTTTTGGTCCATGGCTCACCCTGCTCAGTGCAGATCTTTCTGCGGACCACCAACCAACCACCAATGATGACAAAATGGGTGTAGGGTTGTGGGGTCTGGCCAAGAGAAAGGGTGCAGGAGCAGGGTGATTGGTGTGAGTGGAATGGAGGGTGCAAGAGCGGGGTGGGAGTCAGGGTGGGAGGGAAGGTACAGGAGTAGGCTGATAGAGAGGGTCTTGGCGGGAGGGGTGTGTGTGAGGGTAATGGGGGTGCAGGGTCTAGGCAGGAGGAGGGTGGGGGCATTTACCTGTCTCTGTGCCTCTTGCCGCTTCCAGGCACTGCTCCCATTGGCCTGCTCCAGCTAATGCGAGTAGTGGGGAAAGCCTCCAGATAAGTGGTTTCCTGTGCTGCCATTCCACCAGCAAGGGGGAAGGGCAGCAGAAGCACATGAAGCAGCTTCCTTCCCTCACAAGCTGGATCCAGCCTACAGGGCTCCCTCCCTCCCACAGCAAGAAGTTGGCACCAGCACTCCAGTCTTGCAGGGGGGAAAGGTTGGCACAGGGTTGGAGCATCAGTGCAGGCACTGTGCTGCAGTGTGGGGATGGGTCAAGCCCCAAGACCGTGGCCGGCCAGCAAGACCGCCATGGATGACCAGTGGTCTGCAGACCACACTTTGAGAACCACTGCACTATTTAGGCCCTTCCCCCCACACATGGTCATAGTGGCCCTTTTTGGGAGCGACACACAAAATAGAGCTCCTCAGTCAATCCAGCTCAGTCACAAATTTCAGAAGTTAGACAGAGCCAGGAAGCTACAGTGGCTGGAGATAGTACATCTGTCTTTTGCAGAAATGTATGGCTTGTCTACATAATGTGATGTGCACTAAAGACCTGTAATGTGTTGACCCATGTAGAGCTTGGTGGTGTGAACAAAAATTTCCTAGTGTGTGTTAATGTAGTGTTTCTGAATTATGTTAATATGGACGAGAGAACTTTTTATTGGATCCACATGAATGAGTTAAGGTGTATCTCACTGTTCTTTGGAAATCACACTTCTGCACATTACCACACAGTATAGTCCAGCTTTTTGGAATCAGGTTGGAAAATTCCATAACATTTCCTTTTTTTAAAATTGGCAGTCCTCTGCATGGGGTCATGGTTCACTTTTAGTATCTATTGAGGTTGTGCTCCTGGTCTTCAGAACCATTAATGGTTGGGGTCCAGCTATCAATATATGTGTTTACTTCTGTATCCATTACCCAGCAGGACAGTTATGCTTTCCTGGGACAATGGAGCTAATAAAACCTATTATGAAAGGTTGCGGTAAAGTATTTTCAATCTAGAGCATCTCAAGTGTGGAATAAGCTACCAGAAGAGATGAGACTATTTTTAGAATCACTGTAAGGTGGTATTTATATTGATTGTCTCTGTTGGGTGACAGTTACATTACAGCCTAAGGGTATGATTCCCAGATTGCACACACATACAGGTGCTAGCTCTCATTGAGTTAGTGTGAGTATAAACAGTAGTGTGGCTGTAGTACCAAGAGCAGCAATGGCGTGGCTTAGCTGTGCTGAGTACAAATCCACTGATTTCCGGTGCATAGTACTTGATACGGAAAAGCCATGTGGGATGCCTGGGGTTAAGCAGGACTTTCCTGGACAGAGGGGTGGGAAAGACTGGGACTTCCTAGGCAAGGAGACCATTATAAGACATGCACACAAGGCAGGGAAATTAACATTCCGTGTTCAACCCTAATTGCAGCATTTTCTAGATTTTTGAGTGCTTGAGTTTGCAACTTCAACTTTCTTTTAATGTATTTTTTTATATAATATGAGAGAGAAAGGCTTCAAAGGTATAGAACTCTAGGTAATGAGTTCAGCTTTTAAATTTCCCTATTAAACATGCTATAAAGTTCAATTTCATTTTGTGTATATAAAAAATGGGAGATTTTGAGTCCTGTAAGGATTTGTGTACACTTCAATTAAAAACCCATTGCTGACCTGTGCCAGCTGGCTTGGTTTCGGATTAAGGAACTTTTTAATTGTGGGGTACACATTCTGGTTTGGGCTCCAGCCTCGGCACTGGAATCCTGTGAGCTCAGAGAGTCCCAGAGACCGAGCTGGAGTCCAATCATGAATGTCTGTCTCACAATTAAATAACTCCTTTTCCCGAGCCCCTGGAGCTTTTAATTATAGGCTAAGAGTGACTAATGAATCTTTCCACAACAAATAGATAACTCCAACTTTTTTCCTCATTTAGTCCTAGTTTTAAGAGGAGGAGTTATTTGGTATCTATATGATGACAAAAAGCAGATCTCATAAACCAAAACGGAGATGTTAAATTTAATTGTATACACTGTTAAGTGGCTTTATGACTGCTTTTTAGTGCCAAATGTGCACATTTTCAGCTGATTGTGATTTGAACTAGAAAAGCCAGGTATGCTTTATGAAACTTTGGATAGGCACAATATCAAAACTGGACTTGTGTGCAGTTCTAAACTAAGCTGTTGTAATATTTTTAGGTTTACAGTGTTGATTGGAGCCAAACTAGAGGAGAACAGCTAGTGGTGTCTGGTTCATGGGACCAAACAGCCAAACTGGTATGTTTACTTTGTGCAGAAGATCAGCACTGGGGTATGTTTTCCAACATGCAGTTCATAATTTGTGTTGAGAAATACTGTCCTCTCTTATGCAGTACCTTCTCCTTTTCCTCTTTATATTGATGCTGTAATTTCATTTGGTTTATTTTCTTTTAATTTGGCCACTTGCATTACCCTTCATATCTGTATACTTTCAAAACATACAAGTTCTTTCAATGATATGTGTTAAAGGGAAGAACCTGTATTCCACCAAGGCATAGAATTCCCAGAGAAATCCCTGGAAGATTTTGGGCTAAACTAATTGCAAGATGAGGCCTTTAGAAGATACTTTTAAACTTTCCATTCTGATTAATGTAGAAGCATGTATGTGTGTTCATGCACACACATGCCCATTAGTGCCAAAATATCTAAATAGCAGGAGGACCAGACACATTTCAAAGGGTAAATGAAATATTATCAGTTTTGTTGGGTGCCAGTGTACCATTTGATGGACACACGTAAAATATATATATATATAAAGAGAGTCTGGTCTCTGCTTAAATAAACCATTTTTAAATTTCTATGTGAATGTATATGTGAAAACCTTTTAATTTTGCATAAGCCCCTGTAGAATAAAAGTGTACATTTTAATAGCTTTCTTGGAAAGTATGCTTAGGCCCAAATAAATAACTGGATTTAAATATTGCTACAGTCTACCTGCAGACTTTTGTTTTTCATTTTATTTAGTGGGACCCAGCTGTGGGGCGATCAATATGCACTTTTAAAGGCCATGAAGGCATCATTTACAGCACTATATGGTCTCCACACATCCCAGGCTGTTTTGCATCTGCCTCAGGTAAATATTACAGTAAAATGGCATTCAAGTCAGAAAAGCCTGCATTATTGAATTATTTTTCACTTTGTCCAGCAGATGGTGGTGTGTATCATATTTTTAAAATGGAGGAAAAAAAGATAAATGTATAGCCATGGAATGGATCTGCAGTTTTTGTTGTGATCCTTAAATCACTTCTCTTGGTTTCTCAACTGGGATCAGCAGTTATCTAGCATTTCCTTCACTTCAGTGATCCTGAAGAAGTTTTTCATACTACTGCATATATGCTACTCTCCTTCCCTCACATAATTTTCTTGTTGTGGGCTGCTAAGATGTACTATCTGCTTTTTTAAATATTCAGACACTTTAAAAGATTGTCCCCCAAAACCATGGTAGCAGTAGACCATTTGCCCGCTGAAGAACTTGAAGTATGAGACGTCTCTTTAAGATCTCAGTATAAAAGTGTATATATTGCTGTGCCCTGTCCTCAACAAAGAAAATCAGCAATCTTACTTTTTTTGCTCCTTCTAGTTTTGTAGATCCTGCACACGAGCGTGCGCTCGTTCTCTCTCTCTCTCTCTCTCTCTCTCTCTCTCTCTCTCTCTCTCACACACACACACACACACACACACACACACACACACACACACACACACACACACACACACACACACACACACACACACATTGGGGGGCTCCCCCAGTAGCACAGCGGATAACATACCTGCCTCTGGAGCCAGTGGTCAAGAGCACAAGCCCCATCCCACACCCCTATCCCACCTCGGGACAGCCAACCTGGCCTCCCCATGGACAGAGCCAGGTTGAATCTCTTTGGGTCCAAATGCAGCCTGTAGAGTGATTTGAATAGGGAATTAGGACACAGTGTATGTCTTCAGTTCAACTGAATACTTGGAAGCATTGATAGACCATTCCTTTTGAATGGTTCTTGCCCTTATTAAAGTCTGAGGCTTTGTCTAAGCTGCCAATTGAGTGACAAAACTTTATTGTTCATAGGTGGATAAACTCTCCATACACCCCAATCCCAAAGAGAAAAGCTTTCCCACTGTAAGTGCCAGTGTAAAGTGCTCGTTGTCAGCAGGAGTGCTTTCCTGTCAACAATATGATCTCTGTTTGTAGGGGGTGGCAGTATATTGTTGGCAAAAGTGCTGACAGTGTTTACACTGCTCAACTTTTCATTATATAGCCATGTTGCTAAAAGCTGTGTGGTATTGACAAAGCTGGAAGTGTTTTGATTTTGACCTAAACAGAAGACACTTCAGTTCTTAAGTCCAACTTAAGACCGGTAAGTCCAACTTCAGTACCAGGCAAATTAGTCGAAACAATAGTAAAGAATAAAATTGTGAGGCAGGTAGAAGAACATAATTTGTTGGACAAAAGTCAACGTGGTTTCTGTAAAGGGAAATCATGTCTTACTAATCTATTAGAGTTCTTTGAAGGGGTTAACAAACATGCAGACAAGGGGGATCCAGTAGATATAGTATACTTAGATTTTCAGAAAGCCTTTGACAAGGTCCCTCACCAAAGGCTCTTGTGTAAATTACATGGCCATGGGATAAGAGGGAAAGTCCTTTCTTGGACTGAGAACTGGTTAAAAGACAGAAAACAAAGGGTAGGAATAAATGGTAAATTTTCAGAATGGAGAGGGGTAACTAGTGGTGTCCCCCAAGGGTCAGTCCTGGGACCAATCCTTTTCAACTTATTTATAAATGATCTGGAGAAAGGGGTAAGCAGTGAGGTGGTAAATTTTGCGGATGATACCAAACTGTTTAGGATAGTCAAGACAGAAGCAGACTGTGAGGGACTCCAAAAAGATCTCACCAAACTGAGTGATTGGGCAACAAAATGGCAAATGAAATTTAATGTGGATAAGTGTAAAGTAATGCACATTGAGAAAAATAACCCCAACTATACGTACAGTATGATGGGGGCTAATCTAGCTATGACAAATCAGGAAAGAGATCTTGGAGTTATCGTGGACAGTCCTCTGAAAACTTCCACACAGTGTGCAGCGGTGGTCAAAAAGGCAAATAGGATACTAGAAATTATTAAGAAAGGGATAGAAAATAAGACACAGACTATCTTACTGCCCCTGTATAAAACTATGGTACGCCCACATCTTGAATACTGTGTACAGATGTGGTCTCCTCACCTCAAAAAAGATATTTTGGTCTTGGAAAGGGTTCAGAAAAGGGCAACTAAAATGATTAGGGGTTTTGAACAGGTCCCATATGAGGAGAGGTTAAAGCGACTGGGACTTTTCAGTTTAGAAAAGAGGAGACTGAGGGCGGATATGATAGAGGTATATAAAATCATGAGTGGTGTGGAGAGGGCAGATAAAGAAAAGTTATTTATTAGTTTCCATAATAGAAGAACTAGAGGACACCAAATGAAATTAATGGGTAGCAGGTTTAAAACTAATAAAATAAAGTTCTTCTTCATACAGCGTGTAGTCAACCTGTGCAACTCCTTGCCAGAGAAGTCTGTGAAGGCTAGGACTATAACAGAGTTTAAAGAGAAGCTAGATAATTTCCTGGAGGTTAGGTCCATAAAAGGCTATTAGCCAGGGGATAGAATTAGTGTTCCTAGCCTCTTTGTCAGAGGCTGGAGAGGGATGGCAGGAGACAAATCGCTTGATCATTGTCTTTGGTCCACCCTCTCTGGGGCCCCTGGTGCTGGCCTCTGTCGGCAGACAGGCTACTGGGCTAGATGGACCTTTGGTCTGACCCAGTACATCCGTTCTTATGTTCAAATAAACATGAAAAATATTTTCCTATTATTTCAGTTAAAGAGATGCAGTCAAAACAAACATGCATGCACAATCTTTCTTATAGACAGACTAACAATTAAGACTATAAAAACTAAATGTTTTCTAAAAACCCGATTTACTTCTTATGATTCATGCTGGCTATTTCCATTTGACTGAGCTTGGACAGTAGAAGTAGAGTTGTCTGTTGATAATGAGTTCTTATAATCAAGTAGTGATCTGCAGAGTGCTTCCAGCTGGCTTGCATAGTCACTTCTGTCATAGCTTGGAAGTCTGTGTCTCTTCCAGCAGTGACTGTGTGTGCATCTGTTTACAGGATTGGGCTCTCTGTACTCTGGGCACAACACCATTAAAATTAAATCCTCTAACACAAAATACTCTCAACAGTGTTGTGGGGTTGTAGAAATTTTGGACAATGCCAATTGGTAAAACTCATAATCTTAAACCATGCTGGCCAATGTTCCCTCTAATCTTTTCCGTCCACATGCAGAGTTTTTTCCATCCAGTGCATTACCAGTAGAAACAAAAAAAACCTCGCTATAACCAGCTGGGCAGCATGTGAATCTCTCCTGAGTGACTGCACATTGCACAGCTTACAGGGAACACTGGTGCTTTGTGCTTTTTGTTTCCATAAAAGCCATTGTGACTAGGGATGGGAGGAATAACTGATGTTTTGTGTTGTCAGTTTTGAAAATTGGAGCAAATAATAATCTGGTTTAGGTTAAACTGAATCTGAACATTTTCAGAATTTTTCAGTCAATCAAAAAAAAGTACATTTTTGTCTGCTTCAGAACAGGAATTTGAACCTTGTTTTCACACATGGCAGGCAAGTGCTCTAATCACTGGACCAATAGTTTTAACATGCAAGAGCTATTTCTGTCAGTTTTGGCCATTCACAAACCTACTTTATATTAGTTTAGAGTTTGCCAAACTGAAAAATTTCACTCCAATATCTCATTTTTAAAGGTCTCTTTCAAACGACTCAACCTTCATGGTAATATCTCTGATCTGTAATGTCAAATAGACAACAAGTTGCATTGACCTAGCTAGTTATTTCATACTTGAAATAGTCCACTAATTTTGCAGTCAGTGCTGCTGTATGAACAATTCGAAGGAGACTATGATTATGAAATACCATCCTGGGATATTGAGACTGTGTATGGTAGTTTACGATCAATGTCTCTTTGGGATGCCTCATATGGAAAATTTGTCTTAGTGACTTTAAATCTGAGTCTGATCTTTACAGCAATTACACATGTTGTATTGCTAGAGGAGGTTTAAACTAACCATGGTAAGATTTCACAAGTTTGACTTTTGTGTTTAAAATTGTTTTGTATTGAGTGTGTATATAGTTCAGAGGTGAAATAAAAATCCTGTAAATATGTTACTCAAAAAATTAATAGACAGGAACATTGCATTATTATTGTTCTTTGGCTTACTATGGAAAAGTGTGAGAGAACGTGATTTTAAGATTATTGTTTGTTTTTATGAGAAAATTGAGTCTCTGGTACTTACGCTTTAGTAGCTTACAGACACAAGAATAATACACCTATTTAACTGGAGGCACATGAGAATTACACTGAAGTCAGTAGGATTTCTTGATCATAAAGATTAATGAGTGTAAGCAGGGCCAGCTTTAAGAAGCGCGAGGCCTGATTCCGGGGGCGGGGCCCCGCATGCGCCGTGCGCCCAGGAAGCTGCGCATGCGCTGTGCACCCAGGACGGAACTGTACATGCATCGTGCACCTGGGGGGAGCAGTGGGGCCCCCTTAGGCACAGGGCCCCATTCTGGGGAATTGGCCTAAAGCCGGCCCTGTGTGTGTTTTTAGAATCCAGTTGTAACTTAAATCAGGTTACAAAACCCAAACCTCCTGTTGGTTCCTTCTGGACACTTTGCATAATTAAGATTTCACTAAATGTTTTTAGTATTTATGGGAAGCAAGAGGAATTATATGTAAGGGCCCCATTTGTTGAACTCGATGCTAATCTTTCAATTGAATCAGTGAATACTGGATTAGGCACTAAATTTTCAGTTGTAGCCTTTATATCTTTTATATGCTATATAAATTAGTAAAGAGTATGTCTACACTGCAGCTGGCTCAGGCCAGGTTGGAGGGTTCCAGTGCTCTGACCCAAGCCAGAACATTTACACCACAATTAAATAGCCCTTTAGCCCAAGCCCGTTGGCACAGCCCAGCCGGGGGCAGTGTAGACATACCCAAAGTCATCATATAAAAGA